TCATCCAGACCCTGCAGGGTCTGGACGAGGACCTGCAGGCCAGGGTCTGGATGAAGACCTGCAGGGTCTGGTCAGGGTTTGGACCAGGACCTGCAGGGTCTGGTCAGGGTCTGGATGAGGACCTGCAGGGTCTGGACGAGGACCTGCAGGGTCTGGACGAGGACCGTCAGGGTCTGGACGAGGGCCTGCAGGGTCTGAACGAGGACCTGCAGGGTCTGGTCAGGGTCTAGACGAGGACCTGCAGGGTCTGGTCAGGGTCTGGACGAGGACCTGCAGGGTCTGGTCAGAGGTTTCACTGACGTTCAGAAGAGCTGCTTCCTGTGGACTCCAGGATTCTACAGAAAAACTTGTGAACTCATGCAGGTTCAGATCTGAGTCACTCGGACTTCTTCAGTCTTACAAGCAGAACCTTGTCGTAGTGGATGAACCAGCTGCTGGTTGGGATCTGGGTCTGGAGATCTTCCATCAGAACTTGTTGGTCATTCTACACAGCCAGACTCACACAGACCTGTCAGCTCCGGGCCCTGTAAAACTCAAGGCCACCTCCACTGGACTGGATCAGAACCAGCCACCATGTTGCATGTTCCATAGTGGCTCTGGGGCAGCCATGTTATTTGTAGCTGTGGTGACGTCATTGCTGCAATATTCTGCTTCTCTGCTGGTCTCTAGAACACCACAGGTTCTGACCTGGTTTCACTTTCATTTCTCAGTAAAACAATCTGTTGTTCCCCAAAGAGTTGTCTGTTTGTCTGAGTCCTGCTCCTAGATTCAACAACGCATCTGTAGGTTCTGACTCGACCCGGTCCAGTCTGTAGATTCTGACTCGACCCGGTCCGGTCTGTATATTCTGAAATGACCTGGTCTGGTCTGTAGGTTCTGAAACAACCCAAACAACTTGTTCTTTAGGTTCTGGACCAACCCATTCTACAGGTACTCTAGAAGACTCCAAATGTTGGTGAAAGTTGTTGAGCAACATCTGGACCTGAAGTGTCTGCAGCTGAAAACAGATTTTAATTCTCACATAAAAATAAACAGATTCTCAGTGAATTTTTTTATATTAACAGCTTTTATTAAATTGACATAAACACTTTATGAACATACAATGAACATACAATGAACACAAATAAGTACAAACCGGATTCCAAAAAAGTTGGGACACTAAACAAATAGTGAATAAAAACTGAATGCAATGATGTGGAGGTGCCAACATCTAATATTTTATTCAGAATAGAACACAAATCACAGATCAAAAGTTTAAACTGAGAGAATGTTTCATTTTAAGGGAAAAATCTGTTGTTTCCAAATTTCATGGCGTCAACAAATCCCAAAAAAGTTGGGACAAGTCCATTTTTACCACTGTGTGGCATCCCCCCTTCTTCTTACAACACTCAACAGACGTCTGGGGACAGAGGAGACCAGTTTCTCCAGTTTAGAAATAGGAATGCTCTCCCATTCATGTCTAATACAGGCCTCTAACTGTTCAATCGTCTTGGGCCTTCTTTGTGGCACCTTCCTCTTTATGATGCACCAAATGTTCTCTATAGGTGAAAGATCTGGACTGCAGGCTGGCCATTTCAGTACCCGGATCCTTCTCCTACGTAGCCATGATGTTGTGATTGCTGCAGAATGTGGTCTGGCATTATGGTGTTGAAAAATGCAGGGTCTTCCCTGAAAGAGATGACGTCTAGATGGGAGCACATGTTGTTCTAGAACCTGAACATAGTTCTCTGCATTAATGGTGCCTTTCCAGACATGCAAGCTGCCCATGCCACAAGCGCTCATGCAACCCCATACCATCAGTGATGCAGGCTTCTGAACGGAGCGTTGATAACAACTTGGGCTATCCTTGTCCTCTCTGGTCCGGATGACATGGCGTCCCAGTGTTCCATAAAGAACTTCAAATCGTGACTCATCTGACCACAGAACAGTCTTCCATTTTGCCACACTCCATTTTAAATGACCCCTGGCCCAGTGCAAACGTCTGAGCTTGTGGAGCTTGCTTAGAAATGGCTTCCTCTTTGCACTGTAGAGTTTCAGCTGACAACGGCGGATGGCACGGTGGATTGTGTTCACTGACAATGCTTTCTGGAAGTATTCCTGAGCCCATTCTGTTATTTCCTTGACAGTGGCATTCCTGTTTGAGGTGCAGTGACGTTTAAGGGCCCGGAGATCACGAGCATCCAGTAGAGTTTTACGGTCTTGACCCTTACGCACAGAGATTGTTCCAGAGTCTCTGAATCTTTTGATGATGTTATGCACGGTTGATGATGATAACTTAAAAGTCTTTGCTATTTTACGCTGGGTAACACCATTCTGGTATTGCTGCACTATCTTTCTGCGCAACAATGGTGGAATTGGTGATCCTCTTACCATCTTGGCTTCTGAGAGACACTGACACTCTGAGAAGCTCTTTTTATACCAATCATGTTGTCAGTTGACCTAATTAGTGTTAATTGGTCTTCCAGCTGTTCGTTATATGCTCAATTTCCTTTTTCAAGCCACTTATTGCTACTTGTCCCAACTTTTTTGGGATTTGTTGACACTGTGAAATTTTGAATCAACATATTTTTCCTTTAAAATGTTACATTTACTCAGATTAAACTTTTGATCTGTCATCTATGTTATATTACAAATAAAATATTGACATTTGCCATCTCCAGATCATTGCATTCAGTTTTTATTCACAATTTGTTTAGTGTCCCAACTTTTTTGGAATCCGGTTTGTACAATGAACACAATGAACATACACCCTGCTGACACCCTTTAATCACAAATCACTCCTGAAACTTTCCTCCATCACTCCATCCTGCCTGGACTCTCTTCTTCACCTCTTCACCACACTCCCCATGTTCCTGGACAGTGGACCCCAAGTCCTTGAAGTCCTGCACCTTTGTGACCTCTGCTCCTTGTAGCCTCACTGCTCCACCTCCTCCCTCTCATTCACACACATGGACTCTGTCTTACTACGGCTGACTTTCATTCCTCGTGCTTCAAAGGGCATCAGAGATCCGTTTTCATAGCAGTCCTCCAAGTAGCGAACCCCTCTCTGATGCCATTGTTCCAGAACCTTGCTATCCAGCGAGGTATAGTACGAGTCCATTCTGTTTCAAGGGTGTACGGGGTGAAACTGTTCTTTACTCCAATAGCTTTGTGCCATATTTTAATCAAATGAATTTTGTTAGAAATACTCGTAGGGGTCCATTCATAGATGAAGTCCGCAGGTGAACTTTCTTTAACATCATGCAGACCACTTAAATCCAGGATGGTATATTTTCTTTCTCAAAGTAAAGGTGATAAATTTCATTTGAGCAGCTAAATAATACTTTTCGAGATTGGGTAACTTAAGCCCACCAAGTTTATAATCCCAAGTAAGTTTTTCTAATGAAATTCTTGGGGGTTTACCATTCCACATGACCTGATGTGTTTATTGAGCTTTTTAAATAAATAGTGAGGTACTGGAATTGGTAGTGACTGGAGTATTGTAACCTGGGTAGTATTTCACTGTCTGTCAGTCCAGACGGTGTTGTGCTGTTTTACTCCTGATTTATTTTGTCTCCACTTTGGGGCGGGTCAGGGAGGAGTAATGACGTGTTTTTCCTCTTTTTTAATGTTTTACAAAGTTAAACTCAAAGTATTGGGGAAAAAAAAAAGATGTCAGTCTCCTCACTTCCTGTCTGTCCTGTGGGGGGGGGGGGGTCACTGACAGTCAGTGGTTCTGTGGGGGAGGAGTCAGAGGTCAGGTCTGATGTCTGACCGTGATCCGAATCAGTTCTGTTCAGGTTCTGAAGGTCAATCTGAGTTGAAGGAAGCTCCTCCCACCTCCAACCTAAGCTCCTCCCACCTCTACTCCTGACATGACCTGGATCAGGGGGTCCGGTCAGGTGCAGTGCTCGATAGACCAGGTCTGGTTCTGTTAGAGCGCGTTCAGTCCTGGTCCCGTTGGACCTGTTCTGTTCTCCTGGCCCACACCTGGTTCCGGTCAGGGTTTATCGTCTTTTAATTTGTTGTCATGGAAACGGAGCAGGAAGAGCGCGCCAGCAGCCCCGCCCCCTCCGCCGCACGCGCACCGGGAGCGGCAGCGCGCGCCGTCTTGATCCAGAAGCTGCATCCTGTCATCGCGCCGTCGGTCCGGACCGTCCGAACCGGTCCGTGCGTGCATCAGCGACTGTGTGTGTGTGTGTGTGTGCAAGTGTGCGCGCGCGCGCGTCGGGTTCGTTCTGCTGCTGTGGACCGGGGGCGCCGCTCCGCCCCGGAACCAACGGACCTTTAATGACCGGACTGGTGTTCTGCTGCGCGATGTACCGAAGCAGCACCAGCACCAGCGGTGAGTCCAGCGGCGCGTGCACCGAGCTGCGCGCGCACAGCTACAGCTCTCGCAGCCTGCTTTCATTTTTCTGCCATGAAATAAATAACAATAATCCGAGGGGGCGGGGCGCCGCGCACGCTCTGCACGCGCACACACTGACCCACATCTCCGCAGCCGAACCGGCCTCCGGGCTGCAGTTGGTCCAGATGTGGTTCTGATCGAGCCGCAATCACGTGACGGATCCCTGATTGATCTGCTGCAGCCAATCAGAGGCAGAACACAGCGGGGCTGTGCGCGTGCACCATCAGACAGAACCACATCTGGTTCTGAGCAGAACCTGGAGGCTGCTGGGCCCGTGGTTCTGAATGACCCAGATCCAGATCTTGGCTCTGAATGACCTGGGTCCGGGCCGTATGTGGTTCTGACTTGCTAATGGTTTTACTTGGTGCTGTTGAACTGGTTTAGTTCTGCCGGGTCACCTATTTGGTTCTGATAGAGATCCAAAGGATGTGTCTAACTGGTTCTGGAGCCGGTAGTCCAACCAGTTTATCTGGATCAGAACATTCAAACTGCTTGGTGCTGCTGGTGGAGGACCTGCTCAGAACCAGAACCAGCTGTGGATCAGAACCATGGCGTGCATCAGTACCAGACGCCTGTATGACATCATTTCCTGTTTGCTTCGAGTGTCCTGTCAAACAGAACCACAGCATGGGCCCAGGTCGGTGCTGGGGGATTGTGGGTAATGTAGTACGCTCAGTGTTCTGAACATCCGGTCCAAAACAGGCAGCTGAGCGGTTCCCGTGACCTCAGACCTCAAACATCAGTCGGACCAATCAGAGCGCAGGAGAAACAGAAGCCCAGTCAGAACCAGAACCAGGATTCAAATACACTTAAGACACTGTACCAAAAGGTTCTGCTCAGCTCTGGATGTTCTGAAGGTTAACAGGCAGAGGGTGCAGAGGTGGGGGTGGACCCCCAGTTCTGCCAGGTCCTGAAGTCCTGCAGCTCAGGATGCTGCAGGCTGGACCCCCCAAGGTGATCCTTCAGGTGTGTACATCCATCAGACAGGTGGCAGCACATCTGGGAGCGGGGGGGACACTCACTGACCATAGGCAAGATCAGGTGGTCAGGTGGTAACATGGTATGGAGGTATGGAGGTCAGGTGTTCTGGAGGTCAGGTGGTCTGGAGGTCAGGTAATCTGGTGGTCTGGTGTTCTGGAGGTCAGGTGGTCTAGAGGTCAGGTGGTCTAGACATCTGAGGGTCTGGTGGTCAGGTAGTTTGGTGGTCTGGAGGTCAGGTGGTCTGGAGGTCAAGTAATCTTGTGGTCTAGTGGCCAGGTCTGGAGGCCAAGGGATCAGGTGGTTTGGAGGAATGTGGTCAGGTAGTCTGGAGGTCTTTTGGTCAGGTTATATGGAGGTCTGGTAGGAAGGTGGTCTGGAGGTTTGCTGGCCTGGTGGTCAGATTGTCTGGTGGTCTGAAGGTCTGGCAGTCTTGTGGTCTGGAGTTCAGGTTATCTGGTGATCAGGAGATTCATTTCAATTCAGTTTATTTATAAAGCACCAAATCACAACAAAGTTGTCTCAGGGACTTTACAGGAACATTCACATACACAGAAAAGCCAGTTAGTAAAGTTCTCTATCTAAGGAATCCAGCAGACAAGTTGAATCTTCACTTTGTTGCAGTCTTCCATCCTGAACAAGCACAATGGTGATCTACAGGCATGGTGGGCAGGTTATCAGGTGGTCGGGAGGTCTGGTGGTCTGGACATCTGGTGGTCAGGTGGTTTGGTGGTCTGGAGGTCTGATGGTCTGGTGGCCCTGAGATCAGGTAGTCTGGAGGTCTTCTGGTCAGGTTATCTGGTGGTCTGCTGGTCAGGTGGTCTGTAGGTCTGGTGGTCAGGTGATCTGGTGGTCTGGTTATCTTGTGGTTAGGTGTTCTGATGGTTTGGATGTCAGGTGGTCTGGTGGTCTGCAGTCCAGGTGGTCTGTTGGTCACATGATTTGGTGGTATGGAGGTCTGTTGGTCAGGTTGTCTGGAGGTCTGGTGGCCAGGTTGTCTAGTGATCTGGAAGTCAGGTGGTTTGGTGGTCTGGAGGTTTGGTGGTCAGGTTGTCTGGTGATCGGAGGTCATGTGGTCTGGAAGTCTAGTGGTCTGATGGTATGGAGGTCAGATGATCTGGTGGTTTGGTGGTCTAGTGGTCTGTAGGACTAGTGGTCAGGTTGTCTGGAGGTCAGGTCGTCTAGTGGTCTGGTAGTCAGGTGGTCTGGTGGTCTAGTGGTCAGGTGGTCTGAAGGTCAGGTCATCTAGTGGTCTGGTGGTCTAGTGATTTGGAGGTCTAGTGGTCAGGTGGTCTGGAGGACAGGTTGTCTTGTGGTCAGGTGTTCTAGTGATCTGGAGGTCTAGTGGTCAAGTGTCTGGAAGACAGTTGGTCTGTTGTTCTGAAGGTCAGGTAGTCTGGAGGTCTGGTGGTCTGTAGGTCAGGGCATCAGGTGGTCTGGAGGAATGGTGGTCAGGTGGTCTGGCAGTCTGGTAGTCAGGTGGTCTGATAATCAAATGGTATGGAGGTTATGTTTTCATGTGGGCTGGAGGTATGGTGGACTGGTGGTCAGGTAATCTGTAGGTCTGGTGGTCAGGTGGTTGTCAGATGGTCTGGAGGTCTGGTGATCAGGTGGTTTGGTAGTCTGGTTGTCTGGTGATCTGGAGGTCAGGTGGTCTGGTTATCTTGTGGTCAGGTGGCTTGGAAGTTAGGTGGTCTGGTGTTCTGGAGTTCAGGTTATCTTGTGGTCAGTCAGGTGGTCTGCATGTCTGGTGGTCTGGAGGTCAGGTGGTTTGTTGGTCTGGAGGTTTGGTGGTCAGGTTGTCTGGTGGTCTGGAGATCTAGTGGTCTGGAGGTCAGGTGGTCTGGTGTTCTGGTGGTCTCAAGGTCTGATGGTCTGGTGGTCAGGTGGTCTGTAGGTCTAGTCGTCAGGTGGTCTGGAAGTCAGGTTGTCTAGTGGTATGGTGGTCTGGAAGTCAAGTGATTTTGTGGTATGGAGGTCTGGTGGTCTACTGGTCAGGTGGTCTGGAGGTCAGGTCATCAAGTAGTCTGGTGGTCAGGTGGTCTGGAGGTCTGGTGGTCAGGTTGTCTGGAGATCTGGTGGTTTGGTGGTCTGGAAGTTTGCTGGTTAGGTAGTCTGGAGGTCAGGTGGTTAGGTAGTCTGGAGGTCAGGTGGTATCTTGGTCTGGAGGTCTGGTGATCTGGTGGTCTAGTGGTCTGGTGGTCTAGTGGTCAGCTGGTCTGGAGGTCAGATCATCTAGTAGTATGGTGGTCATGTGGTCTAGTGGTCTGGAGGTCTCATGGTCAGGTGCTCTTGAAGACAGGTGGTCTGTTGTTCTGAAGGTCAGGTGGTCTTGAGGTCAGGTGGTCAAGTGGTCTGGAGGTCAGGTGGTCTGGACATCAGGTGATCTGGTGGGCAAATGATCTGGGGGTCAGGTGATCAGGTGGTCTGGAGGAATGGTGGTCAGGTGGTCTGGAGGTCTTTTTTGTCATGTTTTCTGGAGGTCTGGTGGTCTGGAGGTCTGCAGGCCATGTGGTCTATAGGTCAGGTGGTCAGGTCTTCTGGACATCAGGTGATCTGGTGGTCTTTAGGACAGGTGGTCTGGAGGTCTGGTGGTCAGATGGTCTTTAGGACAGGTGGTCAGGTTATCTGGTGGTCTGGAGGTCTGGTGGTCAAGTGGTCTGGAGGTCTGCTGGTCAGGTGGTCACATCGTATGGTGCTCAGCTTTATGGTGGTCTGCAAGTCTAGAGGTCAGATTGTCTGGTGATCAGGTGGTCTGGTGGTATGGAGGTCTGGTAGTCAAGTGGTCTGTTTGTCTTGTGGTCTGGAGGTCTGGTGATCTGCAGGTATGGTGGTCATGTTGAATGGTTGTCTGGATGTCAGTTGGTCAGGTGATTTGGTGGTCTCTTGGTCTGGAGGTCTGGTGGTCAGTTGGTCTGGTGATCAGTTGGTCTGAGGTCTTTTGTTCAGGTTATCTGATGGTTTGGGGGTCAAGTGGTCATCAGGTAGTCTGGAGGTCAGGTGGTCAGGCAGTCTAGTGCTCTAGAGGTCAGGTGGTCTGGTTATCTTGTGGTCTGGTGGTTTGGAAGTCAGGTGGTCTAGTTATCTTGTGGTCAGGTGGTTTGGTGGTTTGTAAGTCAGGTGGTCTGGTGGTCTGAAGATCAAGTGGTCATGTTATCTTGTGGTCAGGTGGTCTGCAGGTCTTGTTCTCAGGTTGTCTGGTGGTCTGGAGTTCAGGTGGTCTGGTAGTCTGTTGGACATGTTTTTTGGTGGTCTGGAGGTCTGGTGGTCAGGTTGTCTGGTGATCTGGAGGTCAGGTGGTTTGTAGGTCTGGTAGTCTGGAGGTTTGGTGGTCAGGTTGTCTGTTGGTCTGGTGGTCTGGATGTCTAGTGGTCAGGTTGTCTGGAGGTCTAGTGGCCTGGTGGTCTGGCAGTCATGTGGTCTGGATGTTTATTGGTCTGGTGGTCTGGAGGTCAGGTGGTCAGGTTATCTGGTGAGGTGTTCTGGTGGTCTGGTGTTCAAGTGATTTGGTGGTCAGGTGGTCTAGTCATCTGGAGATCTAGTGGTCAGGTGGTCAGATGGCCTGATGGTCTGGTGGTCAGATTGTCCAGTGGTCTGGAAGCCTGGTGGTCTGGTTGTCTGGATGTCAGGTGGTCTGGTGGTCAGGTTATCTAGAGTTCAGGTGGTCTCGTGGTCTGGAGGTATCATTGTCAGGTTGTCTGGAGGTCTGGTGGTTTGGTGGTCTGCTGGTTAGGTGGTCTGGAGGTCTGGTGGTTTAGTCATCTGGTAGGTCAGGATGTCTGGAGGTGCTGGGGGTTGTACTTGTTGATCATGTCCCACAGAAGTTGGGTCGGTAGAACCGGTTTGTTCAGAGTGCTGAGTTCTGTTTTTTCTGCTCACATTATCTAAGATGGAGGATTGACCCGATCCAACTTCACCCTCGGTCCAAACGGTTCCTGTGTTCCACCCATTTCATGCTCAAATATGTCAGCAGGACCTGAGAGCAGCTCCTGGGTGGACCCGGGTGGCCTGCAGGTCCAAAAGCAGGAGGAGTCCTCAGCTTCTTTTAGGCTGAGTTGAGGTAGTGGACCCAGAGCAGGTTCTGGTGACGAGACCTGGTCACAGGGAAAAGAAGGTTCCTCATTTACTCAGAGTCTTGACTTGTTTTCAAAGAGATGAAGCTCTGGTGATGTGGATTAGAACTGGCAGAACTGAACAGAGATGGTTTCAAACCCAACTGGTACTAGAGCTCAGCGCCCCTAACTGAAGACTGGTGTTTGGTCATCTTGGGGGCCGAGATGGTGTAGAGGCAGGGCAGCCGGCTTGGGACCCAAAAGTCCCAGGTTCAATCCCCAGTCACTGCATATCACGTGGTGTCTCTGGGCAGCACACCTCATCCCCAAAATGCCCCCCAGGCGCCCTCAATAGCTGCCCACTGCACCACCTGGTGGTGGATGGGTTAAATGCAGAGACTAATTTCGCCTTTGTATGGAAACATACAGTGCTGACATTGTGATGACATTATTATTATTATTATTATTATTATCTGCTGGAAACAGAGGTAGTTATTTTTGGCTCTCTGTGGGTGTGGCCTTATTTGCATGTCTTCCACCTCTCCACAGGCCCCACCTCCTCCAGCTTGCTGACTAAGGCTCTGTCTCTTGAGTCGTCCTGTTCACCATGTGGCATCCAGGGGGGGCTGGAGGCAGACGTTCCTCAGCTGCTGAGCTCAAACAAAGGGCCCAGTTTTCCAGAGGAAGGGGCAGAGCTTGTAGAGTGTGGTGGCTCAGTGTTTGACACAAGCCCTCTGCAGCTGCCAGTGACCACATTAACTGCACCAACCAGGAGTCGTCCACCACTGTTGGGGCCCAAACCTCAGGGTACCAAGCCTCCATCTTGCTTTTTCACTGATGCTTCTGAGTCATATCATGTAACCTTTGACCCTGACCCCTCTTTACAGTTCCTCCCAAACCCCTCCACCTCCAACAGCTGGCAGGAGTGCCGAGAACCCGCCCTCGAGTTCCAGACAAACCCCTCCCACCCCCGCCACCCGGCAGAGCCGTCTCAGCAGACCTGCATGGGGGCCGACGACCCCCCCTCTACGCAGATGGCACTGCGTCCCCCACCTGCGTTCTGTCACTCATTGAGAAGTTTGAGCGGTGAGTTCTGATTGGTCAGATGAAAAATTATATCATTACTTTGTTTGTTTGGTGGTTTATTAATTATTGTTTATTTACAGGGAGCAGATCATTGTGGTGCCTGATTTAACTGGGGGGGCCTTGTATCCCCGTCCACTCGACCCATCCTCTCCACGACCTTTATCACCACCATTATCTCCCTCACTCTCCCCTTCGCCACCGGAGGAGGAGCTACCATGTGAGGCCACAGGATATGATATTACAGAAGGAGGGGGGAGCAAGGGGGGAGGGGAGGAGTTGTGTGACAAACATGATGATGATGAGGAGGAAGAGGAGGAGGAGGATGAAGAACTATTGGCAGCATGTTGTGACAACATCAGTCAGAAGCATTTGCCCATGGAGAAACAGTCGGAGGATGATGCGGTTGCTGTGAAAATCAGGGATCAACAGCCGCCACTGCTGCTCGACCAATCAGAGCTCCCCTCTGAGCGTCTGTCCCTCCCCTCCTCTCAGACCGATGGCAAATTGGCCAATCGGGACAGTGGCATTGACAGTATTAGCTCGCCGTCACACAGTGAGGAGCTCTGCTACGCCAGCGTGGATGATGGGGGCATGGCCTGTCCGTGCAGTCCCGCCCTGTTTCCCCATCTCTCAAGTTCATCCTCCTACGCTGGAGAGGGAGGAGATGGGGAGGAAAGGGAGTCAAGGGGAGGAGCAAGGAAGAGAAGAGAATTTTCTGAGGAGGGAGACAGTGACCTAGAGGAGGAGGCAGAGCTTACTTTTGTGCTTGCCCCGCCCCAAACTGACAGACAAGACTCTGCTGAGGTGAGAGAGCACCAGTCATAAATGAGCTTACACATGAGAAACATCTAACCAACAAACTAACAGCTAGAATTTAACGAGCAGTTAGCTAAAGGTAGCCTTCGATGTTCCCTAGGAGAAGGACTCAGAGCTTTCTCTGGTACTTGGTGCTCCTGGTACCAGAAAAAGTTCTTTCCCCCAAGTTTGAACTTCATTTGGAGACTCTGAGGCTGCTGGTCAGCTTGTCTGAGTGTGAGTGGGGGTGTAACTGCTGCAGCTGTAAAAGGTAGAGTGGGGCAAGGTCATTCAAGGATTTAAAAGCAAATAAAAGATTTTAAATGTATCCTAAATTGTACAGGCAGCCAATGGAGCAAATATTAAATGGGAAATTAAAGTTAAAAGTTGCGCTGCAGCTTTTTAGACCCTCTGCAGTCGGGCCATGGAGGAGCTTCTAACCCCCAGATAGGGTCCATTACGGTAATCCAGCCGAGTGGTGACAAAGGCATGGATTACTGTCTCAAAATGCCTTCTTGGAAGAATTGGTTTTACTTTGGGAAGCTTCTGCAATTAATAAAAACTCCTTTTAATACCTGCCCTGATCTGATGGTCCAAGTTAAGCTCAGGATCCAGTTAAAGTCCTCACAGTCCATTTGCTGTACTGGGCTAAGAGGCCTAAATTCAAAGGAAAGGGACAGAGGTGTCTCCAAAAACCATCACCTTGGATTTGTTTTCATTAAAATGGTAAAAGTTCCTCTTCAAATTGTCTCTTTATAGATACAACCTTCCATAACTGGTCGAGAAAAGGCATAAAATGTGTGGGAGACCTCTTCGTAGATAGGACATTTGTTCCTTTTGATAATTTGGTAATAGATTTTGGCTTACCAAACTCACATTCTTTCAGATATCTACAGGTCCGGGATTTTGTTTGTGCTCAGTTTCCTAGATTTCCTTTAAAACCAGAAGTTTGCCCTCTTGATGAATGTCTGATACTCAAATCTGGGCGGTCGGGTGATGTGTCCCAGCCATTTGCTGTCATCCAAGCCATAAAATGCCCATCTCTTTGCCTTTTAAAATGTAGTGGGAGGAGGACCTAAATATATAATTGACAGATGAAACCTGGCAAGGGGCTATACATAAAATATACACATCATCTATTTGTGTTAGACACAGATTGATATAATTTAAGGTTTTCAATCGCCTGCACCTCTCTAGGACCAAACTGGCTAAAGTGTATCCTACTGTCGATCCAAACTGCATTCGCTGTCACCAAGCACCAGCCTCTTTGGCTCACATGTTTTGGTCTTGTCCTAGATTAGGTACATTCTGGTCAGAAATCAATACATTTACATATATTTGTAAAGAGAAAATTGATCCAGAGCTTATCTATCACTGCTATATTTGAGGTAGTGCATACTAATAGGATTTCAAAAAGCCAATCCCAATTGATAGCATTTTCTACATTATTAGCATGTTGACTAATTCTTACTAATTGGAAAAACCCTGTACCCCCAAAACATTCGAACTGGGTGTGTGACATTATGTCATTCCTCCAGCTTGAAGCAATAAGAAGTACAGTCCAAAATCCAGCTGACAAGTTTCTGAAGATATGGCAACATTTCTTGGTATACTACGACAAAATATTTGATGCAAATTCCTTGGAGTAGAATTTGTCCTCATCGCTGCCCTGTTCCCTCCTCCTTTCTTTTAATTTTTTAACCTTTCTGATGTCTGTGTTTGTCCTTTTAGTAATTCTTTAGACACCACCTTGTGGTGGAAATAAGACTGTTATAAGATGTCCAGTTTGAATATAATGAAACCCCTGTGTCACATACTGTATGTGGACTTGCTGTTCAGCTTGTTTGTTGTTCTGTATAATCCATTCATCCATTATCTTTACCTGCTTATTCCATTTTGGGTCACGGGGGTCGCTGGTGCCCATGTCCAGCAATCACTGTGCGAGGGGCGGGGGACACCCTGGACAGGTCTCCAGTCCATCACAGGGACACATAGAGACAAACGAGACAAACAACCATTCACTCTCTCTCTCACACCTAGAGACCATTTAGCGTTACCAGTCAGTCTAACATGCATGTTTTTGGTCTGTGGGAGGAAACTGGAGTACCTGGAGAAAACCCACGCATGCACGGAGAGAACATGCAAACTCCACCCAGAAAGACCCCTGGACCGGGGTTTGAACCAGGGACCTGCTCGCTGAGAGGCAGCAGCTCTACCAGTTGCGCCACCGTGCTGCCCGTTCTGTATAATCAAAACAATAAAAATACTTGGGGAAAAATGATGAAAGTTAGGTGATATCCAGGCCTTTAGGTCCTTAACCTTCAAAAAGCTCCCAACAACCTAGGTCCATCTTATATTACAGATCTTACTGTTCCATATTTTACTAACAGAGCACTTCACTCTCAGACTGCAGGTTTACTTGTGGTTCCTAGAGTTTCTAAAAGCAGAATGGGAGGAAGATCTTTCAGTTCTCAGGCTCCTCTCTTGTGGAACCAACTTCCAGTTTCTGTCCATGAGACTGACACATTGTCCAGTTTAAGTCTTTCCTGTTTGATAAATCCTATAGTTAGGGTCGGCTTGTTATGCTGCTATAGACTTAGACTACTAGAGGACAAACTGACCTCATTCCCTTAAATGAATTGTTAAAATTGAATAGTTTTCATTTGATACTATTTCTATCTTAACATGTGATTCTTGACCTGCCATTGTGTATCTATTCCTACCAAACCCAGCCGGTCGAAGCAGATGGTCCTCTTGTCCTGATCCTGGTTCTGCTAAAGGTTTCTTCCTCATGAGGGAGTTTTTCAAGGGTCAAGGTCAAGGTGTCTTTATTTGTCATTTGCATCACATGTGGTAAATTGTGTACACAGGGTCCCAGTTACATCCAACAAAGTATAAATTGTAAAAGATACAGTATTAGATCTATACAATATGCTAAACACTTAATAGTGCAAAAACAATACACCGAACAACAGCAGCACGAACATGAGTCTGTGCGAGTAGATGAGCATGAATGAATTCCTTTCCACTGTCGCCTTCATGCTTGTTCAAGATGAGAGTTCAGTGATGGAGTTAAACTCAGAGCTGCTCCTCAGATAAATAATGTTAAATTATTATTTTATACATGAATGTTTCTGTTAATTATTATTTTATAGATGAATGTTTCTGTTAAATTATTATTTTATACATGAATGTTTCTGTTCAATTATTATTTTATACATGAATGTTTCTGTTCAGGCCCTGAGACGACTTCTGTCGTGACTTGGAGCTTTACAAATAAACTGAATTGAATTGACACAGAAGTGACAGATTGACAGACATAGCATCTGTCTTTTTAAGAGGCACACAAATCTGACTGTTCTCATCCATCATCTTTACCCACTTCTTCCTTTTCGAGTCACTGGGGTCACTGGTGCTCATATCCAGCCATCACTGTGCAAGAGGCAGGGGACACCTGGACAGGTCTCCAGTCCATCACAGGGACACCTGGACAGGTCTCCAGTCCTTCACAGGGACACCTGGACAGGTCTCCAGTCCATCACAGGGACACCTG